TCAAGAAATTAATGTCACTTTTTTTTTTAGATGAAAAAACTCGAACAACTTATGTATCAAAACTAACATTTATTAAATGAAATAGTCTCCATTCTTATCAATAATGCTTTTCCATCTTACAATCAGGTTGTTAATGCCCTGATTAAAGAAATCACTAGACTTTAGAGCAAAATACATGTCGATGTCCTCTTTAACACCTTCCACATTTGCATATGTTTTCCCATTAAGATGGTTTTGCAGCAAACGAAAAAGATGGTAATCTTACGGTTCCATATCTGGTGAATATGGTGGGTGGAGGAGAACTTCCCAACCCAACTCCATAATCTTGTGTTGCATCAAACATGCCCACATGTGGACGTGCATTGTCATGGAGAAGAAGAACACCTTTCCGAATGATGAGTGGAGGGTGTTTCTGATAAAGGTCTTGATTTAAACGTTCTAGTTGCTGACTACAGATCTCTGCATTGACAGTTTGCTGTGGATTGAGGAGTTCGAAATGAATTATTCCTTTGATATCCCATCAAATGCAAAGCATCATTTTCTGCGGATGGAGTCCAGGTTTTGGGGTCGGAAGTGGTTTTTGTTTAGGACTGAGCCATTGTTTTTGGCATTTAATATTGACATAGGGAATCTATTTTTATCACCAGTAACAATTCTGTTTAAAAATGGTTGACGCCCATTATGTGCCAGAAGAGATGAAGCAACGTTCACATGTTCGAAACAATGATCATCGGATATTTCGTGAGGCACCCAAGTACCTTCTTTATGGAGTTTTCCCATATTCCTTAGATATTTACATATTGTTTCATGAGAGACATGCAATTTCAGGACCATTTCACGAGTATGTTGCCTTAGGTTAGACTTAACAAGCATCTTCACAGCATCAATATCAATTCCAACATGTCGGCCCATGCCATTACAGTTTTTAAAGCTAAAGTCACCTGAACAAAATTTGCCGAACCATCGTTGACACTTACGAATGTTCAAAACATATCCATAAACTTCTTTGATATTCTTTTTGGCTACAGAGGCGTTGTTTCAAACAGCATTACATGCCGAATGTGTGTCTCATCGTGTGCCATCACTATAAAGGATTAGAGTGTACTAAACTTTACACATTATATAGGCTACACTAATGTGACATTTAGGTGGTTCGTTTAACTATTATGTATGATGTATGTTTTTTTTGTGTGGGGGGGGGGTTAATGAAAGTGTTCCAAAATGCGACATTAATTTCTTGACAACCTAATAGTTGAGCAAAACAAAAAACTCAACCTTCCGTTAGTATAGCTAATTAAATATACTTTTCTTATGTTTCTAATTATAAAGGGTAGAATGTATTGTTTCATCACGATGTTCGGCCAGCCTAGGAGGTTTAGTCCTAAATACAAATTTTAAGCTAACAATACAGAACAGTCTTTATAATAAAAGTACAAGGATAAACAACAATTAAAATAAAATGTAATTGCCTATGCCCATGGTATACTAACTAGTATAACTACTATTATTAATTGAAGTAACAAGAAATAAACAAAATAGCATACCTTACTTATGGAACCCGCAAACACTAGTTCTTGTTTTGAACCATAGTCATTGATGTATATTTGTTTGGAATTTTGCCAAAGATAACTCATTATGGCACTTGAACTATATAGTGTGAGAGGCTATCCTACATTTGGACAGTTAAATCCATATGTTTCAGTTTAAACCATGTTGGGTTAATTGAATCAACTTTACCTTGCCACAAACAAAACAATTGTTTATGAAAATGCAAAATAATAGATAAAAAATAAAGTAATAGCTGACTTGATCATTATAATATGACAATGTTAAATAAATGTAACCACAAGAAAACAACTAGCTAAACTTAATATGTAGTTATAGGTTATGTGAAAGATTTTTATTACCAGTCTGACTTAACTACTCTTTGTGCTTGCAAGAAGTAATAAATAATTTTCAGTCTTCTCAAAAACCTGAAAATAAACATGATAAGATTGAAGAAATATGAAAGTTCTACAAAAATAATACATTGAATGAGTGCAAAAATACTAAACTTCTGATGTTGTAATGTCAAGCTTAGCTAATATTAACTCTTCATGATAATAACTTAACGTTTGGTAAAACCAGTGGTGATCAATAAACTAAAGCTTTTACTATTACCTAAAATGAAATCCCAAGGAGTCAGTGTAGATGTGAAAGTTTTAAAGAGTTTGTGATACTCTATGAAACTTGTAAACCCATAATATTTAAGAAGAATATTGTTGATTTTTCCATACAATTTAATGAATTTTGTGTTTAATTTTAGCAATGAGAAACTTCGGGTATGAAAATTGTGAGTGAATTTATGTGCTTTATCTATAAAATCTTTTAGTGATGGACAAATTCTTTTGTATCTAATAAGCTGAAAATGTAAACATTGTAACATAACTTATTTGGAATATTCCTATTTGTTAATAAAAAGTTTATAACTTTAAAGTTTAACACAATTAATGATGGTGATATCTAAATCTAAATGGTTTGCTTTATTTCTAATAGAAAAGCTTTTTTCTAGAGTGCGCTCTCGCAGATAAATTTATAAAGAAAGATGTGCCAAGAAAACCTTAATAATTTGGTTTAGGAGTATATATATATATCTGCAAGCATAACTGATGTGCAAAGATTTACTTTAGTCTATCTAAGTAAGGTTTGTAATGTAAGAAAATTGTAGTCCAAATAAATATAGATCTACAACTGGTGAGCTGAAGTTACCACCCATTGGAATTCCTTGTACCTGTTTGAAGACATGTTGGCCAAATTGCAGAAATGTATTATCAAGTAAAAACTTCATGGCCTGCTAAAATTTATTTAACAGAAACACTGGTAATTTTCATGAGTGACATGTCATAGAAAGTTTTGTGTTTACAGAAGCAGAAAAGTAATTTACCAAAATTATCAAAAACTTTAAAATTGTTCATGAAAACTCTTTAATTTTATCAATAGGAAAACTGGTGTAGAGATCACTGAAATCAAAAGTTTATACTGTTATAGTTTCAAAGTCTTTAATTTTCTCTTAACATTAAATGGAATTACCAATGATTACACATGGATTAATACTTTTTTTTTATAACATTGCATTATTTCTTTAATGCTGTTTTTTGTATTTCATACAATTACCTATAATAATTGACAATTCCTTGGCTATAGCATTTTTATTGCCATAATGAAACCTGTATTTGTACTTTTAGAATCCAAAGTAATTTAGGCTTAACATTGTTTGATCTATTTAATTGTATACTAAAGTCTGATGAAACAGAAATGCCATTTTTATGTGTCTATGGACTTCATTACATGGATATTTTAACATATTGAAATTAAACCCCATGCCTTTACATAAAGTTATAAAACCATTTACAAATGAAAACTTGTTAGCTGCTTTATCTGCAGGAGTGATGACATATCTACTATATAAATAATCTAAATCTTTTGATTCATGACACATTCATTGTTGTTAATTGTGAATATCTTTAACTATGTTATGAATTTATTGATTACCTTTTTAACTTTATTTGCCAAGTTTCTGAATAGGATTACTTTTAAGTTCTATTTTTTGCTCTATTTATGTAAAACTTTAGTGAGTGATGTGATAATTACTTTTTTGTGCATTTTCAATTATTTTTGGAAAATCATGGAATTTTGAACTTTACTCATTAACAGTTGTAAATCCTCATTAGTCATGATATCAAGGTTACTGATGAGCACGTAATCAATGGGTAAAAGTGTAAGGGGATGGAGTACAATCATATTTATAGGATAAAATGTTGTGTAACTCTTCATCTATGTTATGTTATCTAATATATTGTTATAATTAAGGATGTTACTGCCAATGGCTCTATTGCAAGAAAAGCTAATAGTTGGGTATTTAATTCTGCAAGTGTTAGGTAACTGGTTCTAATTTAGTAAGTTCTATACTTCAATCAGTAAATGTTACTGTGAGGTAAACCTTATTCTTAAATTCATTAGCAGTTGTTGTTTTGGGTATAAGTGATGACAAATAATAAATAATAGCAAGTCTACATTACTCGTCAAACTTGGAGGCACATATACTTATGTTGTATTGAACAAAGGTAAGTTTGTAAACTGATAGCCCTTGCAAGATAATGTAAAAATTTTTAGATCTTTTGTTTGATAAACCTTTAATAGGTTTTGTTATGAACTATTTTGCTTTAGCCCTGTTTGTTCTATGTTTGTGCTCATGACTATGTGGCCGACGTGTAAGCAACTGGATAAAACATTGATTACTTAAAAATTGGTAACATTAACTCTCTAACTATGGGCTTTGTCCCAGGGACTGACCTTGTAAACATTTTGTACTTGTTATAGTTTTCATACTATAACTTTTAATACAGTTTGCATATCTTCATAAAATTTAGCAGATTATCATTAAACATTACAGATTTTTTTTATGAACTTTTAAGATTTTTAAGTAATGGTTTGTTAGTGCATTGTTTTCTTTTTGAATGTTGACTATCCAACATGCAAAGTAATTTTGATGTTATGATTAAAAATACTTTTATGCATCAGAAAATTGTCAAATTTCACATTCAATATCTGTATAACCTCCATATAATTATCAAACTTTTTTTTTTTGAAAAAACAATATTTTATCTGTTATTTTCACTGTTGTATCTCTGTATTGGTTTGGTTGATTTGACTGACATCGTAACCAACATAAAAAAATGAGGAAATAGATGTCATTTATGGAGTTTTTGGTCTAGAATGACTATAAATTGTAACAAGAAACCATAAATGTTTAGTTTGAATACCTTAAATCTTGTAACATTATACATCTATATATAAACGGTGCTCATGTTATCGTATTCAGTAGTATAAATCTGGCCTTTTAAAAGTTTCTTCTAGTGTACCAGTATTTTGTAAAATACAGTCACATTTCGATTATAATACATTACGTATGTGTACATATATTATTACTATTTACAAATAAGTTCTTAAATTTCAGTTACTGTGCCTAAAACATAGAACAGTAAATCAAGAAATAAAGAAAACAATGATTTCTTCTACTTACAAACATTGTACTCGTTTACCTGCTTGCTATAATTTGCTAAGTCTTGTCAAGTTTTGCATGTGGAGGATTTAGAACAAAATAATTTTTTTAGGTTTTATATATGCATTTTGAAATAACTAAGTATTATAAATTACTCTATCAATATTGCAGATTTCCACTCTTAATTTATCAGGCTTACTAACTAAACTAGGTAAAAAAGAAATATTGTTTTTTGGACAATATTTTCACTTACCCCATCCTTCTAACATTTGAGACAAAGAAAAAATCTTGGGAATTTCCCACCATCTAGAGGTTGAGAAAACAATGTGAGGGACATTCTGGGCTTTCAATTGGTTACTCAGACATCGTAGACAGAATTTGATGTACGTAAGCAAGTATTTTCAAAAATGAAAGAGGTGGTCAGTGCCCACTGTGTTTGATTTGCTAAATGTAGTGATATCTCAGCAAATGGAAAAGATAGGAGGTTCTTATTTTATATTCTAGCTTTTCAATATCAGTAATTTGAGTTTTTATTATAACTAGTGTTTTCATCCAGTACCTCTCTCTTTCCACACATTTAGCATGTAAACTGTTGAAAAGTTTAATTTGTAGGTATTCTATGGGCTGTACTAGAAATTTTTCAAAAGTATGCTCTGGGAAGCTAGTATTGATAGAAGAAATTTGAGTACTTCTTTTTTTGCAATGGATTTGTAGCCATTCATTCTGCCTCTAAAGAAACTATGAAGTCTTGCCTACATATTGAGCACCACATTTTCTACAGCTAGCTAACTATTCAACATGTTAGTACCACAGAGTTATTTATTCAAGCTTATGAGAGAATGTGTGTATATTTAATTTTATATCAACATTGTCTTTTCATTTGGAAGCCTGGCATGGCTAGATAGTTATGGCACTTGACTCAAAATCTAATGGTTGCAGGTTTGAATTCCCATCCTACTAAATCTGCTCACCCTTTCAACCGTGTGTGCATTATAATGTGATAGTCAATCCCACTATTCGTTGGTAAAAGAGTATCCCTAGAGCTGGCTGTTGGTAGTGATGACTAGCTGCCTTCCCTCTAGTCTTTTACTGCTAAATTACGGATGGCTAGTGCAGATAGCTCTTGTGTAGCTTTGCATGAAATTCAGAACAAACAAACAAACTTTTCAATTGGTGAAAACCACATGATGCTATCTCAAGATAAAGCATTTAACGCAACAGACAGCACGTTACAAAATGTAAATATATCAGATGTTTTGGTAAGATGATTGTAAAATATAAAAAAATTTAATGCTGGAAGAGTTAATAAATTTGTTTTAGTGACGTGGGTGCACCATAGAATAAACAGTGATTACTATCATAATTAATTGATGAATTGAGTTCTTGCTTATGTGATTTGATGTACAAGGATGTGTTTGAATTTTTTATTTATTTCTTGAGTATATTATTTTGATCGTAGTTTGTATAAGTAAGTTTATCAGATTTATCTAACTTGAATTATTTTTGTTTGCTCTTCAGAGATTGATGGCTTCTGCAGTTTTTTTATATGAAGCTTGTGTTGATGATGTGAATATTTCCACATTCTTTACTCGTAAGTAATTAATTTCACTGGAAAAATTATTAGTTTTTGCTCATGCACTATGTTAATAAAGAAAATTAAACAGAATATTTAAAAAAAAATACCAAGATGTACATTAATGTGTTTAAAGACTTACATGGGACACTCTTTAGGTAAATGTATTTGCTACTTTAAATCTCAGTGATTATATATATATATATATATATATACATCGAAATTCATATTGTAGTGACCAATAAAGTGAGAACTAAAACTTCAGACATTCAATAGATCCAATGACCTAAGTAGTTAAAGTATCTTTTTTCACAGTCCTGCCTAGTTTTAATTTTTATGTCCTCAAAAAATGTCTTTTTGTCTGTAAAATAGGGATAGTGATAGTTTCTATTTTCCGAGTTAAAATGTTTTTCTTAACTCTGGTATCTGTGGTAGTGCATCCATTGTCCAAGGGCAAAATTACACTATAGAATTGAAAAATGTACAGAAAATAAGATTGTAGTCATTCTACAACACATTTTTTAATACTTCAAGGTTGAATTCTTATTATAATGTATGCTATTTTGTACGACTGTTCACTGTCCCTATTCACAGCTTTGGGATGACCATCACCAGAATCAATTAGTGTAGTAAAACTAGCCCAAGAAGTGTCCTAACAAGCTTAGAATTTTGAATTATTTCCTGGGGGCTGCCCAACACACTACTCTGGGCTTAATGTTGTTAAGAGTATTCATCACAGGCCAACAGTAAATAGTTAACTGCTAAATGTACAACTTAAGCATATTATGATGTACATTTGGGGTAAAATGATAAAGATGTAGAAAAAATACTTAACAATGAATTTTTGTTTGCATGTAATTTCTGCCGTAACCACTTTTTGTACACTCTCTTATACTGCTGAATTACTTTCAGTAGGACAGTTATATCTACTAGTTTATTCAATAAAAATTTTATTTCATTTGACACAAAAAATATTTTAAAATTTTGATTTTGGGTTGATTTCACCTCAGTGTGAACAAAAAACATTAGTTTTTGTGAATTTCTTAATTTTTTTGTGAAGATAATTTTTACTTGTATACCCCTACTAAAAAAGTAAATACTTTTGAAAAAATAGTGCCAGTTTGGGCCTTGTAACTTCAATATAATTGTAGTTTTGTTGATTGTAGTCTCTCACTTTATACCTACACCTTTTGTCATGGTGTTATGTAACTGCCTACATCTTAGCTTTGAGAAGTCATGGGTTAATGATATAAGCATCTAAGAAAAGCCCCCCTTTTTTTTTCTCTCTCTCCTTTTCAACTGCACAAGTCACTATGGCTTCCCATTTGGCAGAGACTACATAAAGATCAGAACAAAGTGATAAAAGCTTAGGTTGGTCATATGTTACTAAAAAGAACAGATGTTTGTGAACAATTTCTGTCACAATTACAATCCTCATTTTATTAAAGCTTGAGAAAAGCTTTCTTTGTCACTTTGTATATCATTTTAAGTATGATATTGCATTATGATAGGAAAATAAACGTTTTTTGTGGAACAAGACAAGTTTGATTAGATCATTTACAATTGACTGTATCAAGTTATATAAAGACAAAAAAAAATAATATATATATATATATATATTGTTTCATAAAATTAAACTATTGGAAAGGTTTACCTTCTGCCTTTGTTTCTGGCTGATCTCTCTATAATGAAATAACATTTCCTCCTTTTATATTTGCTATGCTCATGAATCAGGTATGTGATACTCTTTTTTTTAACTGTATATCACAAATTCTCTTTCTTTGTTTTACTTCTTGTACCTCCTTCTGTCCTAACTCTGCATTGTCCTGCATCTAACCTTCTAAATCCATTTTGACTCCCACTCAGTTTCTTGTCCACGTGGGTGTTTACCTCAACCCCTGCACATGTTGGGTTCAATTCTCTCCCTTGCGTATTTGTGCCAAGGAAATTTTGGTATACAATGCACTTCTCTCCTGCATTTGGGGACTCTTGCTTCCCTAGGAGACCTGATTCCTCACAGTCATGCACACATGCATCCCCTTTAATAAACTCTACAGGACCAGTGGAACATGTCCTGCATTCTCTTATCTGCCGTTGCGTCTCTGTCTTCCTTTCTACATCCCTCTGCCATGGTGGCTTAATCGTTTCAATGTATTCCTGGATATACCAAGCCCCCTTTTGGTTTGACTTTGATCTTTTCACCAATGCTTCTATTTCTGTATGGGGGAGGATGGTATTTTCATATCAACTTTCTGGAGGTGATTGAGGCTTATTGGACTCGCCCTCTTTGGTCATGGTTGCCTGAGGATCTTATGATGATCCACTCGAATAGTTGTACAGTCATTACTTCAGTCAATCACTAGGGAGGCATGTGCTTTTGGGACCTGTGATTTCTAACTCTGGATTTCCTTTCTTGGGCCTACAGTCATTGTATTCACCTTACAACATCCCAAGGAGTGGCATGGCCAGGTGGTTAGGGAGCTTGACTCGCAGTCTGAAGGTCATGTGTTCAAATCCCCATCCCACCAAACATGCTTGCACTTTCAGCTGTGGGAACATTATAAAGTGATGGTCAAACCTACTATTCATTGGTAAAATAGTAGCTCTAGAGTTGGGAATGGATGGTGATGACTAGCTGCTTTCCCTCTAGTTTTTTACTGCTAATTTAGAGATGGCTAGGGTAGATAGCCCTCGTGTAGCTTTTCATGAAATTCAAAACAAACCAAACCCATGGAGTGTTTTTTAACATCCTTTAATCTTCTGTTGGATTTGTTTTAATTGTGGTATCACCTTGTATCAATGCTTTTGCGACACCCAAGTTGAAGGTCTCTCCTCAGTTGATCTCAATCTTTCATTTTTCATGACAGAGCGTTGCACCTTCACCTTTACCTGGGAGATTTTCCCAAGAAGTAGCCCATTTTCTCCCTCAATCCTGTCAGTCTTCTACTCTTTCCCTTTATCAATGTATATAATCTGTTTAATGCCACTGGTTCTTTGCCACTGCTTTCAGACATATAGTCCTTCTTCTCTAAATCGTACTTCCCTTTTTTTACCTGGCTTTTTATCTATGGCCTATTTTACCAAATGTAGGTTACCATGGAGCATTGTCCATAAACTTCTGCCTCTTGCCAGGCAATAATTTCTTCTTTGTTCACCCCCCTCCTTGTCTGGTCCCTCTCTCCTACGGGAACCTGTGTATGGCTCTTTGGGCATTACTTGTCACCATTTGAGCCATTAGTCTCCTGTTCTTTGTATTATTTGGCTCTCAAGACATAATTTCCTCTTGTTGGTGGTCATCGTTGTTCAGACTTTTATGCCTTAGATGTCTCCCATACTCTGTCATAAGGACTTGATGTTTCTAGCCCACTCATTTCTTTCAAAGACTTTAGCTATCCAAGAGGAAGATCAGATGTTATCTTCTATCTCCATCCCTTCTATTTTATTTTCATCATTATACAAGCATTTTGATCTATTGTCTTTTGTATCCTGTACAGACTGTCCATTGCTATCCATTTTTGTGGAAACTGCTGTTATCTATTTTTTATTTTGACAGAATCTCCTCCTCTCTAGATTTGTCCTTTTCTACTTTAACTGATTAGGATCACCAACTCATCCATCTCACATACTCTTCTTTGGGTGAGTCTGACCATAGGCTTTTTTACATCTCCTCCTGCCAGTTTTGACATGTCACAGTCTCTCTTAACACTTTTCATTGCTGGCCTTTCGAGGAGATCTCACAGACTGGTATGTGGACCACAACTAATACATTTGTCTCCCATTGCTTATATTATTGGGCAGTTTACTTTTCCTCTGGTTTTTGCCTCCCCCCAGTTGCCATTCTCCAGTCTACCCAGAGGGGCTTGTGTAATGATTTTTGCTTGTTGTGTTTTTCAGTCATTTCCATGTCATTTGTACAAACCATGGCACCTCCCTGTGTTTATCTTGATTTTTTTACACATTCCAACACATTGAAAATTCTTCAATGATAACAAAAAAGTAAACGAATGGAAGAAGGCAAGACATATCAGTTCAAATGTTACATGATGAACTATATCTTATGTTTCTTATGCTTGGTGCCATTGGAACCCCCTGAGTTGCTGGCATTACCTCACAGGAAATACTCAACAGAAATCTGCATCAAACAGGGGAGAATGGCAAGCATTAAACCCATCTGCTCCTGCTAAGTGGTCACTGTTGAAATGAGGTTTTCTGGCAGTATAATTGACATAGCCATTTCTGACCTGTTACAAAAACAAAACTAATAAAACAGACAACACCGTCCCATCCTTCCTCCCCACTTCCACTGCATTTTCTTTGCCTTGTCAAAAATGAGCCTATGATCATGTGCTAATGTTTACAGGGAGAACTGCATATGGAGGTTGTGTCACCTTCCTGTTAGTGAAGGGCTACAAAATTATGGTTATGTTATATGCTGTCACAATGTATGTAGACACATGTAGGGGTGGGAGCTTGTTCAAGATTTATGGCATATGGCAGTTATGTGTAATAGCTCTCAGTGGTGCAGAGAGATAAGTGTCAATCTGAAAAACATTTATACATCTCTTGATTATTGAAGTATCCCACAACAAGTTTAAGATATTATGGTTTGCTACTGGTCACTGTAATTTGTACAAGCTAAGTTTTAAGTTTTACTCTGCACAACAGTGTAATGATAAGTAATTTTGAATTTGATTAACAGGTTACAGATAAATATTTATTTCTCTTGTACAGGCTTCAACATTTCTTGTTGATTTGTTTTTAGGTTTGTTACAGTATCTAGATAATTATATCCACTATAAGTGTACAAGTATAAAAGTGGAAACTTTGATTTCAAGCCAATTTAAATTTCTATTGACCTAAGAACATCTGATAATCAGAATGCTTGTTTGAAGTTCCTTCAACATGAAGCCCATTTAAGCTTCTGAAAAGTAGAAATCTCAATTCTTCTATACCTATGTTTTATAGTGTTCATGATGAAATTTAGTGTGAATGATGTTGCATATTATTTTAAGATTTCTGAGACAAATCATTTTATATTATTAAATGTTTTTTTTATTACTCTGTAGCATTTTGTTCATATTAGTTAAGTGGTCATGATGCTGATATTTATTTACATTTTTACATTTGAAATTATTTGTACCTAAAGTATTATGTTCCTTGAAATCTATTTCAGGTTATCAATTACCAGACACATTTCTCTCCTGGTTTCTTGTAATGGAATTGCATGTTTGGTAAGCTTATATATATCTTCCAGTGTTTCTGTATTAAAAGAGTAGATATTCTGACATACTTGATTGTAAAAAATGTAAATGGCTCAAATTAATGTTGAAGTTCCAAAAATTTACAAGTAGACTTATATGAAAACATACAGGATAAAAAGCAAATGATATGTAAGACGCTCTTTTAAATATAAATATTTTCATTACATTCCTTCATCTAAGAAGGTGATAGGAATTGTTGGTTTTAATTTCTAATAGAAGTTACTTGTAAATAATTACATACTCTGGAATTACAAATGACACCATGAAAATTATAAAGCAAAATGAGTTTCCTTACAAAGATTTTGAAAAGTTTATTATTCAAATAGTACAAAATAGATAGAAGTATTTAAAATTGGAACAGCTATTCAAATGTTTTTAAAAGTACAAGAAATGTAATAGGGAACTTGTAGAATTAGATAATAGATAAAGTGCTTTCAGAAAAAAATCATTTTGTTAAATTTACAGAGATACATTAAAATAACTTAATTTTTTATGACTTTTAAAAATTGGTGTAAAGGAAATATAAAATGCTAAATATGCAGCTCTAGCTGTATAAAAGTCAATAGCCCAATGCCGGGGATGACAAAATTTTTAGATCATACTACTGTGAATTCCAAACATAATAGCTTGGGGCTAATGTGATCCTGCTTGAAAGAAATATGAGCATGTGTATAAAACATAATAGCTTGGGGCTAATGTGATCCTGCTTGAAAGAAATATGAGCATGTGTATAAAACATAATAGCTTGGGGCTAATGTGATCCTGCTTGAAAGAAATATGAGCATGTGTATAAAACATAATAGCTTGGGGCTAATGTGATCCTGCTTGAAAGAAATATGAGCATGTGTATAAAACATAATAGCTTGGGGCTAATGTGATCCTGCTTGAAAGAAATATGAGCATGTGTATAAAACATA